CCAGATGCTGCAGTCTGTGAGCATCAAATACACATTCTGAGTTGCCAACCTTTAGCAAAGAGCTTTTTAATGAGATTTAAATAAAAAAATCAGTACATGTTAAGATTCAGTCATATGAAACCAATGGCACCCAGCAGAATGATACAACAAAGAAAAAACATTGCATTGTCTTTCCAGCATTTTGGTTTATAAGCATAACCTGGTTGTAATGTTTTGGGACTTCCCAAATGTTTCCTCAGTTTTCCTACCAGTTCTTTTACAATATGTACTAAGAAACTGGATACGCTCTACATGTTGTATTAATTGTATGTAGAAGATTCTGCCACTATAAACTGGTTTTCACATATAGATTTTTCAAACTTAAAACACAGCTCTGCTTTGCAGGAAAATATACTGCCTACAAAGTTTTTTTTATTTTATTTAGCTTTTAGGAAATTCTGGTTCATATATTTAGAGGTGTTCATAAGCTTGATCACTGCACACGACAAAGGCAAGCTTTGACAGTGTGAAAACCATGAACAAAAATGTTTTGGTCATCTGCATTGTGTTAAATCACCAGTAGGATGTTTTCCAATTATTTTACAGATTTTTTTACAATTTTTTTACATTTTACATTTACAATTTATTTACATTTTACAATTGTACAGATTTTAAGTTAAGATGTTTAAATACCATAAATCAATCATACCAGCGCCATTTGTGCCACTGTAGTAAAGATTACATCAGTGTTTCCATTATAAAACCCCTTTTTTCAGGGGTTTCTAATTCAGCCATAAAACTGGGCTCCAGCCTAAAGCTTGGCAACCGAAGTCAACACTTGGGAGCAATTCTTTTAACCATTTTTTTTTTTTTAATGGCTTGGCCTTTCAAGCTACAAAATAGTTCAGAAAAAGGAAAATTAGTGGTTTCAAATTTTGGTGAACTTCTATCCCTCAAAAACATTGTTTTAAAACCTGACAATTTTCTATGTCATAAATCTGTAATGTGGACTGCTGCTTTTGGGTACTTTGGATAGCAGTGTTGGATAAAAATCACCAGCTTATTTTGTTTAAAAATAAATGTAATTTCTCATGAAAAATTTTAATCCAATAAAATTTTCACAAACTACTTTCTCATGACAAGATGTGGTAGATATTGCATGAGGAAGCCTTTATGACTCATTTATGCAGCATCTATTCCATTCATTTTAATTTCTGTGGTAAGAGGTATGCAATACTGTATTTTGACGCCTTGAATCAAATCTGCCTATCTTCAAGACAACAATTCTGCCCTTTGGTAGCACAGATCCACCTGTGAGCTTGACATAGTCCCTGACAAAGTTCTGCGTATGCACAGAAAAAGAAGAAAGAAATACTTTAAAAGGAGCACATCAAGAGAACTCCTTTGAAATGTATTTTGTTTAAAAATATATGTATTAAATACTGATTCTAATTCACTTCTAAGAGTCTCAATTTTTCCTATGCACATTAATTTAAATTATAAGAATTATCAATTAGGTTTTAACCCAAGTTTAGTTCAACATGTTAAGAAGTCCTTCAGATGTTGGTTGACTTCAGTAAGACACCTCAAACCAACAACATGAACATGATTTGATCTTCAGGCTCTCAGAAGCTTTCTCATGAACATAGGCTCAGCAAAAGGGAATTAGAAGCCCAGATCCACCCACTCCCTATAAAAGTCAGCAAAACTTGTCCAGGGCCCCAATAAGCTTTGGACTGAATCCTCCATGTAGTCTGAATTCCTAGAATAAATTTTTTTCTTAATTGACATTTAGGCTGCAAATTGGTTTGGAAAGCCATTTCCATAAGTTCCAAGAAGCTTAACAGCTCATACCCTTTTTTTGAGAAGTCATTTAAAATATACAATCATTGCTAAATTATAGCATTAGTTGCTTGAGGGAAGGATGTCTGGTTTATATTTAGTCCTTATGTCATGAGTGTCAATTTTTAATACACTTCTTGGCTTTTGTCAGTTTGCTGCAGAGCTCTATTTTCTTTTCTTCAAACAGCTACTTGCAATGAAAAAAATTAGAGATATTTTCTCCCTTCCCCACACCATTTTGCAATACCAAGCTAGCGCGTGTTAATACAATCTATACCACAGAAGTTACCACCTTCATATTTAATGAGCTTTCGAAGAAACTGTCTTTTGCTTGCAAGAAAAATAAAAATACTTTTGAACATACAGCACTTGGAGATATTTTTTTTTTTTTTACACATTGAACTATGTACAGATACTCATAAATGCAAGACGACGATAGAGAAAAAGCCCAAAGAAAACAGAAAAGACTGATTCAGTTAGTTACCAAGACAAATGCTATGCTTATTAGTCCTGCTGTTCCACTAGCAATACTGTTATTGTGTTTTTATATTTGTTTTGATATCAATGGATATTCTTTTGATATCAATTGATATTCTTTTGCCTAAAACCCCCTGTACAGTACAATACCTGCAACACACACTTGGATCTAAATACTTCACCTGAAAATTCAGTGTAGGAAGGCAAAGTGTTTGATGAGAAACAGAGAACAGACAATGGCAGTCAAAGAGAAATGACATGATAGGTAGCACCCGTCTGTAGTCATTTCATACTTCTGCAATGGCTTTGCAGCTCTCAAGGTCCAACGAGTTTGACCCTGAGCATATTTTAAGAATCTCCAAGGTACCTTCTAAGCAGTGTTGGCTGTACAACAGGTGGCAGACTCCTCTCTGAATCACGCATAAGCCTGTGACTCAAACCACTAGCTTTCAGTTGAGATGTAAAACTTGTGCTCATTAATTTTTTTTTTTAAATAGTGCTAATCCTGGGTTCTCAGCCAAATTCCAAATCACAATTATACAATTTGTGATACCTACTAAAATTGTCTCCAGAATTTCAACTGTATGTGAATATCTGAGCTACCCTAGGCAGTAATAAACCCACTCACCACTTCAGATACAGAAGTAATCCGTGCTGCTCTGGAAACAAAGTCACAATTCTTGATTTTCTCACCAACCTTTTTGTGATGGTATTGTATGTAGATAAACTCCTGTACTATTCCATCATCAACTGGCTACGTTTCTCTGCTCCCTGAAGCAATCTTTCCACATGAGCCTTTAAGTGAAGCTGGTAACACTGTGAATACTTTCACTGATTATTTCATCAGTGAAATCATTTTAGCTCGAAAGCTAAGTGGACTACTAACCAAATCCTGGCTACTTCATATTTACATTGAATGAAATACGATATTGAAAATCAACATTAATTATGAATAACCTTTTTTTTTTTTTAAATATATTTTTTTTAACATTAACTCACTCTGGGCAATCTCCAGTAGGGGTGACCAAGCTTCCTCACCCTATAAGCCACCTACCAAATGCAAGATCATTAAGAATGAGGCCTTGCCTAATTTTTTTTTCAGTTATGAATCGGGCAGAGAACCAGCAACAAATGCTGATGCTTAAGAAAAAAAAAGGGAAATGTTCATGGAAAAGGAGAAATCAAAGTCACCTATATGCACAAGGAGCCTGGACTCTAGCAGGCAATTGAACGGTGGCCCTAGAATCAGACACAAAGAAGAATGAACTGTGGCAGGAAGAGGATGGAAACAGAAGTGTGCTGCATGCCTAGGAGAAGGAAAGCACGCAGACCTATGCGCAGGAAGTTGTATATGCTATTATTACCACTAGAGAGACAACAGAGCAAGGACAGTAGGGAAGGTGTCCTAAAAATGCAAGGTTCTGTAAGATATTTTAGATAGGAAAGTCAAGCTTCAGAATTCAGAAATTCAGCATATCTCTTTGAGGCTTAAAGATGGTTGTGTTAAAAACAGGAAGGACAACAGTGTTTCTCCATGAATAATATGCTCAGCAGAGATAAGAACCTAAAGCATCTAGTTACTGCTGAAATTAGCTCCACCACATTTTAAGAAAAGAACTTGTTCATCGCAAATCACTTAAAAAAATACCCAAACCAAAACATGCTGGCTTATGGTAGGAGATAAAGTTTTCTCAAGAGGACAAGCAGAGTCCGATCCCAGCCAGGGATGATGATGGAAAAGATCACATCTTATACTAGCATTTACCAGCTGCAGTATCCTCTAACCAGATGCACACTGGTTTCCTAATTACTTTTTTCTGACCTATAAAAAAACCATTCTCCTCTTTTAGCCAAAGATCATTTAGTAAAATCACCATAGTGTTCATATATTTTAGAACTTAATAACTACATCTTAACTAGATCTTGCAATACCAGAATTTCATTTTAAAGGCTCATAATAATGACACATGCTCACAAATGTCCTTGCAGTTGTGTGCACACTCGAACAGAAAAACAAATTTTGGTGGTCAAAATTCACTAAGCAGAAAGTTTGTTTGGCACATGCTGAACATAAGCAATAACGTAAAAGCAGTTCTTAGTGATACAGAGGTATTAAACTACCGCTGACTAAAAATTTGCAAGGCATTTCAATTAGATTACTTCTAAGCACAAATAAAATTGTTTTAGTTATGATCTTTTACATAACATATGCAAGGGGGGGGGCAAGGTAGAAAAAAAAAATAAGCTGTTTGTAGACATTTCTAGAGAACATAATTTGTCTCCACATTTTGTGAAGTCCAAACTTAAAGTGATATATGGCATAAAGAGCATTGTCAAACCAAAGGAAATTGAGAAAAGTGGCCTCAGTGAGGCACAAAGTGTTGATATGAAGACAACAGGGTCATGGGAGGAAAGTCTGGTGAAGTTTTGAAAATGCACTGATTTCCTCACTGAAACGCAATGTGAAAACTAAAAAACCAAAGAATAAAACTAAAAATTTGCATGCACATAAGAGGCAAAACACACCAATTGAAACCCTTCACTTGTAAAGAACTTCTGAAGCATACCTTTTTCATGAAGAAAGGTGAGAAAGCATCAAATTAATTTAAGTATTCCTCTCTCAAAAGGCTGAGCAGGCTGTCGTCAGAAAAATCAGTATTTTAATTTTCAAAATTGACATTGTCAATGGTTCAAAAGCTTACCTCATCGCAATGTTGTAAGACTCTGGATGAATACAAGTTTGATCCAAAGGATTGGGCTGCTGTGAGGCACACGATGTTGGTTTGCTCTTCTTTTTACCCTGTGCACCTGCTTTAGTCAGAATTGCATGACTTCCAAGTTCAGTTTTCTTATTACTGTCAGAAATAAAAAATGAACATGTCATTCTTAATGAACAAGACCCTAGCCCAGTGCTCATACATGAAAAACACAATCAGACTTCTATATAATGTACTTTTTTTTTAAAGAACGAACAAAATCCCTAAAAGGTCTTTGTGGGTGAATCTTAACAATACAATTATAGCATAAAAATATAACATATCAATGTATGAATATATTAATTTACAATAGAAACAAATATTGTGAAAGGATCCTATGCTTCATCAAAATTTCTTCATGATGACAAGATTATGAAGAAAACACTACACAACCTATTGTATCATTTGCAATCTGGAGAGCAGCTCCTGTCTGTAAAATGAGGACAATTGCATTTACTTACTTGATAAAGATCTTATGAGGAAACTTTCATACTTAACTGTCAGTTAATAGTCTACACAATTTAAAATTTGAAAAATGTATAAAAAAATTTTCTTCTTCATACCATCTTTAGGTAAGCAAACTTCACCTCAAGCATATGTACAGAACATATACAGAACAAAGTATGTGAATGCTTAAACATCAGAACTCCTTAAACAATTTTATTCACTTTCTATACTTACATTTCTGAAGAATTCTGCTGAAACATGGGCCAGGTCAAAGTAAGAAAAATTTCAACTCAAGAGAACTCAGACCAACATTTGTTTAGAAAAGAAAAAAGCTAAAGGTGAAATCTACCACTATTTCAGAATTTACAAACCATTTTTTTTAAAAGTATCTTAATAAAGCTTTCTGTAAAACTTAGTGAATACATTATTGACTCTTAGTCAGTTAGCCTCAGTTAGCATTTGGATTGGACTTTTTATTTTTTTCCATTTTCTTCTATTGCCTGAATAATGAGAAGGCTCCAAAATCTGAGACATCCATGGACAGACTGCCCGCATTGGTAAGAGGACTTTACAGAATACAGGAGAGAAAGAGATCTATCTTTGTGTGTGTGGCGTATTTACAACTGGCACACTTCTTCTGTTAAAGCTTCCCTTAAGTGAAAAAAATGCTCACGATACAGTAAAGGCATCAAATGACTCCTACTGGCAAAGGCTTCTTTCTCATGTCTTTTTTAGTTTTTTTTTTGTTTCCCAAATCACAAGGGGCTCCTGCTTTTGCAGGGCAAAACAGAAGGCACTGAAGAATCGGGAAAAGCACTCACGCTTCGGGCTTTACCTATGCACGGACTGTACACAGAAATGCGGACGTAACTTTCTTTTTCCATATAAATTTTTAAAATAAACCCTAACTATTTGTTAACTTCCAAGTACAAAGCACAAAAACTAATTCACACAGCACTCTTTAGACATCAACTTGATTAGACAGAACAAAAATTAAGCCTTCTCAAAGTCCATTTCAAAAACATCCGGTTTTGTCACCTGGGCCCACAAGAAATGTTGTGGAGGCAACGCTGTTACAACTTTATTTTGGCCTCAAACGCCAAAGCTATAGCAGATTTTTCAAGTTATACACTGTACTCAAGTTTTATGGAATCTGACTAACATCAGAAGCATGCTCCAGCAAGGAGAAAAAAAAAAAAAACACGACCCATGTTCTTAAACATTTCACAGTGAACTTCTGGGGAAAAAAAAAAAATGGTGTCAGCCTTTTCCTCCTCTGTTGCATTGCAGCATTCACTACAACAGATCTGCGCAATGTAAGACCTATCGATCACCTACAGCTCTGAAAGCAGTTTCTTTGGTCTTCTGGTGCTTACAGTGCACACCATTTGGCCTGCAGCATGTGCCTCCCTGCCAGATGGGCAACCAATCTGTATACCTTCCACCCAGGCAGTAAGCCAGTCCTAATGTGCCTACCTCCTGCCTGGAAGTTACGCGTATGCTGTTTGGCCAGCAGCAACTGGGAATACAGTATTGCTTCTGAGCATTGGTTTGGCTAAAAAATAGCATGTGCTTCCCAGTAAAATATTTTTTGAGGAAAGTCAGTGGTAGACGGGTGGGGATGGTGCTACCACTGTGCCCTTTCCTAGTTCTTTATGTTGGAAGGAGAAATGGGAAAGACAGGAAAAGAGATGTTGCTGTAGAAAGGGCACTTTCAGTTCTGGAGACAAAGGATTTCAGGTGAAGAGGAGAGGCAAAATGAATGGTTGCAAGAGCAATACAGATACAGGGAATGAGACCAAAGAAAAGGATGACCCACTGTTGACAAACTGGAGTTGGGAAAGGGCTTACAACATTTGAGATACAAGCAGTCACATGACGCTTGCTAGGCACAGGAGTATAACACAGACAGAGCTTGGTCCAGGCAGCTTATTCAACTGTCTCCAGGTAATGGAATTGCTACTCTCTAAAAGTCCATTTTGGTTTTCTACCATTATGTTCTGCAGAGTAATCTTTATTACATTAAAATGAATTTACAAATCTCTAAAATATGCCTGAAACAAAACTGTAAGGTTTTATTATCTCAGATCACGACACTGCCACATGCCAATTTTCTTCAATGTCAGAATTTGTAATTAAACTTACATGCTTACCAAAGCTCTGACTTACAGTACTAGGCTAATAAACCATGATTATTCAATGGAAGACCTATGTTCAATTACTGACTTCAAGAAGTTTATTTGTTAAGATACCATCTTTCATAGGGAAAAGGCCTAGGATTACTCAAATCTCAAACCTGAGTACAAAACAGAAAGGGAAAAAGTATTCTCATAATATTTTGGATAATTTGGTCACGATAGCCAACATTTCTATTACCTGCAGAAGGTCTTTATGTATTCTTGATTGAATCGGATGAATCCAGCACACTGTTGGAAGGATTTGGGACCCAGACCTTTAACTTCCTTGAGCTGTTCTCTGTTTATAAATGGTCCATTCTTCTCTCGCCATTCAATTATATTTTTAGCCCTGTTAGCATTCAGTCCGGCAATGTGTCTAAGATAAAAGTTTACAGAACACATTTATTACCATTGAACAGTCATTAATACAAGTCCTATCCATTACCAGGATGCACATTGCTGTAGAAAATCCGGTTTACAAAACTTAAAAACAGCTAAGAAATTTGCAAATAGACTCCCACACCAAAGGCATCATCTGAAAAAGGATCCCTTCCCTTAGTTCTGTGGAAGGAATCCACTCAAGTCAGCAAAACTTGGTACAGCAATACGGTTCTGCACATACCTAACCAGTAAGCCGGGGACATGTAATTTATGATCTGCTGGCTATTTCTGTAATGCCAATTCAATTTGTCATGTCTTATGGCCTGCCCCCAGCTGCCCTCTTCAGGAAACAACGTGGGAGGAGGGTTCAGGACAGATAAATTGTTCCTGTGAGAACAGCCCCCTCTCAGCTATTCTCTTCCAGTGGTACCGCAACACCTTGCCCCAACATGAAGGGCTGACGTCTGCTATCCAGAGAGTGGCTGGGAGCAGCTTGCCTTCCTCACACAATTTAACAGATCCACACAGCTTGTTCCTTTTCTCTCAGCTGCTCTTGAGATAAAAGAGCAGCTGGGAACAGGCTGCATGAGTTGTTCTGAGGGCAGCTCAGATCTGGCAGAGAACTTACCTGTGAAGTGCAACTGCAGTAAGCCAAGTTCCTTCAGGAAGCACTGGGTTTGCCACACATTTTCTGTACGAACATGTGAGTACAACTTTCTGTGTATGGAGTATGTTAATCATCGAAAGAGGGAAAAGAGCTGTGGTGGGCAGTTACTCCTGGCACTAGAGAAAGAAATGTCACCCATCTGGCTCTATGTATCAGATGGCATTGCTTTAAGCCAGTGGCAGCAGAAACCTGTTTGTAGAATGGCATGGGTTGATTCTAGAAAAACACCACCAGCAAACCTGGCAAGAATAGTCAAAAATTGGGGTGGGGGGGGAGGGGGGTGTGTGTCAAAAAAACCTCCTTCCATTATTCTCATCCTCAAGCAGAAGTCAAAAAAAATAATCCATCGTTGGTGAAACCATAGAATTAAATTGAAGAGGCACACCTTTAACCATAGACAAAATATTAATCATTAGGAATGGAATTTTTTCCAAAGACTTCTTAGAAACATTATGAAATCCAGCTATTAACACTAGCAAAGGAATATGACACAGAGTTCACAGAATTTTCCACTGATGATCTCAAGTCCTTCAAGTACAAGACTCAGCACTAATGCAAGTACTGTAGCATTGTCACCCCTTCCACGTGTAATATGTGTCAAGAAGTGTATTTGATGCATCAGAAAGCCCTGCTCATTGTATATTCTAGCTAGGGTGACAATTTCATACACTGTATATCTGAAGGAAGCTTAGACCACATCTACACAGAACAACAGAAATGAACTGCAAGGGATCAAGTTAGATCCAGGACTTGATTCCAAAAATGCATACGAGCATCATAAGCCAGGTTAGTTAGACCAAAGTACTTAGCCACTTAGCCAACATGGTTACCACATGTAACCATGACTGGACAGTGTTACTCCATGCTCACAATTTTGTGAAGACACAGCAGCATCTCAGCCTAGTGCCCTCTGCTGAATTGTACAATATAGCTGTACCCTGCAGAAGGCTGACAGTGCTCACCCACTGCACTTGCTCAGGTAGGGTTTTATTAGTGGAATAAAAGCTGATCAGCTTCATTTAGATACTGATAGGTACTGCTTTCTTTCTCACTAATAGCTGACCTAAATCTGGAAGAAGATAAGACAGAAGGTAAATCAGGACTCAGGGTAAGGATTGGATACACAGAAACAGAATATGGAAAAGAAAGTGGAAAACTGAAAAGAATGGAAAGCCTCTTCCAAATATGGAATGATGTTTTCAAGAATAGCTATCAGGGGTTAAAAAATTAAACATAGAGCTAGCAAGAATACGTTTTTCATAACTTTGGCACCTAATATAATTGTCACTACCAAGATGATGGACATTCTTTCTCTTCCCCTCATATTACAGAGGATGACAGCAACACTTTTGCTCCTCTGAGAGGCTGTTCAGCTAAACGATTCCGAGTTCTGCACACTCAAGACAGAGAACGAGCTTTGAATTTGTAACCAAGAGAAATAAAACCCAGAACATTTTCCAAGTAAATATGGCATAATTACTTAAAAAAAAAAAAAAAAATCAGTAAAAAGGGATAAATTTTTCAGCAGTTTCCCCTTAAATCTTTCTTTTTCTCCTTTCCTCACCTAACTTTTACAACCTGTTCCACTTAGGAGTACCTATAAAAATATCTTCTAAGAGACAGAAAGTACATTTGAAAATCCCTTTCTCAGAGTAAAAATAAAAATTAATTATATCAAGTTTTTGAACTAGCACTGCAATTTTAGAAATTTTTTAAATATCTCTTTTTCTCTGAAGAATAGTTTTACCCTGGAGAATCACACTAACCCTTAAAAACCGACTCTTAGTGATCCAGTGAAATACTGTCTTAATGTGTCATTTTCATGTAATTGCAAGTTTAACACAACAGCCATTTGCTCCAGCTGAGCTTGAGTCAGATGGCAGACTAAACAGAGACTCTGTGATCCAGAGCCATGTAATTACTGGAATAGGAAAATGTTTGACTCACCTTAATAGTATTTCTGAGCAGATGTTAATATCAACTCCTACAAAGCTGACACACTCTTCAACCACACTGTCCAGAGTTGCTTTGAGCAAAGTCTGTGATACATCATGCTGAGAAACAAAAATGGAGATATCAGGTTACTGAAATATCGAAGCGTACATAAGAACTGCAAACAATACTAACATTAATGAAATAGTTGCTGGAACTTATCAATATCTTATGTGAGGGTACCAGTTAAAAACGTAAGTTGTAGAACATATTTTTAAAAGGTCTCCAGTATCTCTTTGTAACTTCTTTGTCATGACACAAATCCCTAGAATAAGACACTCTTCACATTACTGTATTATTTTTTTAATAACTATTTTCCTGCATCATGGAAAAACAAAACTCTATTAAACACATAATGATTACTCAGAAGGAGTAATGCTTCTCTTCATCCACTACGTCTTGTCTTTAATGTGACATTCATTTACATATAATATCAGTTTAATAAAATGAGAAAATATTTTAAAAATAATGTAGTTAAAGATCACAAATGCTGTACTTTTGCACCTTCACACACAAATGTCTGCAAAGTTGTCCTACCTGTGAGCATCACACTACAGTACAGTTATTATTTACTAAAAGAACAAGCCAGGTATTGTATGAGGGTGGGCAATACATAAGGTACGTATCAGCCCCGCAGCAACAAAATGTTTCAGATTTTGAACAGATATTTCTGGGAAGATTGGCAGGTCCTTGACCAAAGCACCACTAATGGAAATTCTTCCAGTTTTCCCATTATTGTTCATAGTGCTTCCCCCTTCTTTCCCCCCCTAAAAGAAAATCAGTCACACTTGTCAAAGATAAAAGTTCTGAAGCTCTAAGATTTCTTTTCCTCCACAACGTAGACATACTTCAATCTATAAATGCTAGTTCCCCACACAAGCCCATCACTGCTTAGAAGTCTGACCTGGAGGGAGAAGCCTCTCTAAATGCAGGAGCTAATTCAATCACTATGTTGGCTTAGCTTCAGGGCTCTTATACATCACTCATGTAAATCTGGGTTGATCTGTTGTGGTTTCGTGATGCATTCATTTAGGACATCAAGCTGGATCCAAGCCAAGACATCAAACACTTCAGCCACTACTTTGTTTTACCTTCTAAGCCATTCAGCTATTTTAAAGATTTCACAGTTAAATTTAACATGCCAACAGCATCAATCCCAATCTACTAGTATTGTTAGTTCATCAAGTAGTGGTTAATAACTGAAACAATCATAAAACTTATCGCAATGTATTTCGTAGCCCGCTCATTTCAGGTAATGGTAAGGTGATGTATTTTCATGATGCAATACATAATAAAGTTACTTATGAACAGGAGTGCAAATTTCACCAATATTACTCCTCCTATATAAAGTTCGCATGCAAAAAGCCATGTAACATGCATAGGTATTGGCATTTGCACACAGTCTTAGCCTGACAGCCACAAAGTTTACTTGTGCACTTTGCAGATCACATGTCCGTTTCTACTTACTAACGTGTTGCTACTACAACAGAATGGCTTTTTTTCTGAATAGAGAGAAACAAAACTCCACATCCTAAAAAGAAGTCATGTTTCTATTTTTCTGACTTACTGAAGATGCAGCTTCTCTTAGTGAGGATGTTCTATACATTCCCTCCTCGTCCTGCCATCAGCCAGGTAACGTACTAGCACTAGAGGCTTCCGGCTCATAGGCATGCTCATGTAAGGACGCATTTACGTAACACAGTACAAGAACCAGAATAAAACTGTTCAGAACTACACTTACATTTTCAGTTCTTTGCCAAGTACAGCTGCCAAATACTGGGCTAAATTTTCCATGATAAATGACAAATTAAAAATTTAAGAAGATAAAGATACTAATCTAACAATTTTTTTCATTATGGTAGAGGAAGGCAAAAGGAGAAAAAAATGCAGAGTACTCAAAAATTCCTTCTGCTTTTAGGAAAGGCTACCGACTCCAAGGTACTGGGAAACTGATTATCCTATAGTTTCACAAGTTCCATTAACAAGTTCCATTAACTGTAGCTGTTCTTGGCCACCTCTAAAAAAGTCTTGGTCTAAACCAACTACTTAGAATATAAAGTAGAGTCTGTGGCAGAGGGTAGGGTAGACTGCTGTTTCCCCAGGTTTCAGTCTCACTCCTTAAAATGATGATTATTCTTCAGAGAGAATAACATGCAGTTATGTGACGCAAAACAGAGACATTCATTATTGTCTCCACAATGCCTTAGAGCACAGGGTGTAGCAAAGAAGGTAATCTATAGATCTGGCCTCATCTTTCAAAGCGGTTCTTGGGAAGGTACTTGATTCAGCAGCAGCTTTATTTCCAGTCTGCTGAGAGTGAACCTAGACAGCAATTCAGCCAACTACACTCCCCCCAAAACAAGGAAAGGATATATCACAATCAAAAGCTAATCATCCTGAAATACCTACCTCTGCTACTGGAAGAAAGATCAGTGCTCACAGATCCTCAGTTTCAAACGCGAAGTTGGCATTTATCTGAAGGCTTAACTTTGTAGATGCAATAGTTTGTGTAAAATTTGTGTGACAAAATACACACAATTTGGAAACACTGTAATATTCAACTGTCTATTTCTTTTGCCAGGAAGACAAGAAGTTCTCAGGTCTTGCAAATATTATTTGCATCTTTTAGCTTTATTGCTGCTTGACAGTCACCATTAAAAAAAAACAAACAAAACATGCACAAGTTGTTCCAGTTGTACCACTTGGAATGGACATCACAGCACGTATATGAAGGTATGGATAAAGAAGTGGTGAATGGGTAGACCTGAGAGGACAGGATAAGCGTAAGACAGCATGGATAAAAGAATCCCTAAGCTACCCCTACCTCACGGAAGATAACATTGTTCACTAGCTGAATGTAAGTCGCAAACACTAGGAAAACTTTCCAGATGGCAAATTTGCCTCCAATATGTAGCTACTGACCACCACAGTTTCCTTTTGCTATGGTGAAGAAATTTCTACATCCTTCTTTACATTGATACAAAGCACAGAGAAGTGTTATGAATTTAGTTTCTAAAAGTAGTTCATCAAAAACATCATTTTCCCAATATCATTGTCAATACTTCATACTGCTAACAGGTTACACTTCAGAAAGGTTTAAAGTGCAGTGCATTTTCCAGTCCTCCAAAGATTTCACTCATCATCTAACCTCTTATATTTGAGATTGTATACTTCTATGTACTACTTATATGCACTGGGGTGGTATCAGATTATTCAGCCACTACTAGAAGCACACATATTCCATGCTACTCATTCGCTACAACGGGTCTGTAAAGACAAGAATCCTTCTCAATTCTTGCATTAAGCACATCAGAATAAAACCTGCACAAATAAAGCCCAAGTCCAATACACAAGGCTACTTTCAAAGTGTGCTTATCCAGAAATTTATGCTGCACAGCCTCCAACAACCCCTCCACACACACTAGTGTGGTAGATTGTCGTATCAGAAGGACTTGCAGGGGTCAGCTAAATAAAACTTTTTCGTATTAACACTAACTCTGAATGCACCCCTATGCATGAGGGTATCCCTGCTAAAACTGTGAAGTCTTGTCTTTTCTTTTTAAACAGAATACTCTTACTTATTAACTGTCTTCATCTGTGGAACAAATACCACAACTGCCCCCACAACCCCCCTTACAAAACCAGGAGAAACTAGCTCCCTCTGCCAGCTGAACGATTTGTACCAGGGCCTTCTCCAGAGTTAAGCACAAAAGGTGTCTAACAGATATGCCTAGCAAGTAAGGAGCATGTCCTTTGGTGCGATTTTCAAACATGATCTTGAATTCACCACCCAAATAAAGCACTACGGTTTGATTAAAAGGATACTCAGAAATGACTGCCATTAAAATAATCACTACTGGCATAGCAGAACTGGAGCAGAAGACTTCATTTTGTATGATGGTCTCCAAGCAATAAAAAAGATTTGTATCACCAATTTATAGAAACTGAGGCCAGCAGAAATACAGGACTTGCCGCAAACTGAAGGATGCCCAGTGCAAACGTGCAAACTTTCATTTATCATCACTCTCCAGAACACAAAGCCAACTTGCTTCAAGGGTAGCACGAGGAAGTACTCAGACATCTGTTTGGTTTTGCTTTTTGTGCGGAGGACTATAGAAATTAATCCACCCTTAGAAATATCAGGCACTGTAACCATCTTTTAGTATTTGTTTTCTAAAGAATTATCAAGGAAACCAGGGAACAAGATACATGAAATTTAATTACTTGATTAATTGAAACTGCTACAGTAAATAATTGTAGTTGACCAAGAAATGAAGTTCAAACATTACATTTTTCTAAGATTTTTACAGCGCGTGTCCCAAATATCCCAAACGCAACTTCCTTTCATGAACCTGGAAGAAAATCAAGGGCTGCTATTTTGATTTCTGGTCATGATTACCACTCAAATTAGTCTGTGGTAAATTTGTTAAAATTACCAGAAAAATAATATTATATTGCGTATTTTAAAACCACCATTCTGCAAACCTGTGCTAAAAAAAAAATAATCAATACAACTTAATTTTATGTACTTTCATTAAACACAGCACAGAACGTTTAACACCAAATAGTGTTTAAGAACGCCTGTCTATTATGTACATGATAGTTCTGTCCCATATTACATCCCCCAATACTTCAGCAATGTTTTCCTTTTCACATGGTATGAAGCAGAGAGCAAGGATTGTTGTTTCGGTCTGTTTCAAGAGCTACAAACACTCACTGAAAATAATTACCATTACTAAAAACCTATCTGTTCCTTCACAGGGTGCTACTACAACTATAATTAAAAGCCGTTTTTCAAAGTTTCAAAAACCTGCTGATATACACAAAAGGCAGGCAGTATTTTAAATCGCCTCTCAGCTCAGTTATTTCTAGCAGTATACCAGTACAGACACTATAAAAATACATTTGTCATCAGCATGACAAATTTATCAAGTCAAAGAACCACTGTTCACATGAAGCCTGGAGGCTGTATTTAGTCAATCTGCATAACCATAGATGGTGGGCCAGTAGACTGGCTAACTTCACCTGACCAAACAGACTACTAGTGCTAGACTAGAACAAC